GACTGTCATAGTCAGCTCGCCTCCCCACTACCCAGGACACAGGGCCCAGCTGCCCAGCATGTTTGCCCCACGGCCTAGAGCTCGAGTTGGGCGGGGAAGGAAGCTGAGGCTGACAGGCACTGGAAACGGGTCATGCGTTTCTCTGGCCTTAGTCTCCGGGTACCTGAAACAAGTCATTCGGACTTAACCTTCCATGATGGGCTTTCCTAATTGCCCCAGAATGTGGCTGAGAAATCAACCACTGAGCTGGAAGTCTCATTATAAGAGGGCAGTTCACTCAGCCACATGGAGCACCTCTCCCTCCAATGGCCCCCTGGATTCCTTCAAGTGATGATCGAATGATCAGCTTACAGGCCAACACCAGCTGAGTGCAGAGGCCCACAGACCCAGAAGCCGATACAGCCTGGTGTCAGGCCCCTCGCGGAGTGGGGTGGGCAGTGGGTAAGACCTGAACGCGTCCCCGAGGTGAGGAGTGTCCCCCTGCCTGGAGGAGTCACTCCAGCCTTGGGGCTTGGACTGCGGCTGCAGGTGGGACTGAGGGATGACCCCATTACCTGCACACCCACCTGTGTCCCTGTAACAGCTGACCCAAGGTAGACATATTACATGCCCACGAGCCTTCCACTTGGATCCAAGGAAAAAGAGCTGAACTAGATGCTGCCCTGCTGCGTGCTCGGGGGCCATGATTACCAGGACATGGCCACTTTATGGCCACACTCTCCACCCCGCCCATCCAGGATCAAGGCCTGAATTCTCTGGTCCTCTGGCGGGAGCCGCCTGAGCAAGAACCTGCCAAAAGACTTACAGACGTGGCACCACCAATAACAAGTTGTGAAGCTGAAAGAAACTTTTCTAAACGTTCAGTAATAAAATGCAACCACCGCTAGAGGCAAAACTTATTTGTCTTTCTTTTGTCTCTATTAAAAATGATACTACAAAATTACTGTCAGACAAAGAGGCAACCCAAGAATATGCAGACAAAATATGACAGGTGCAGTAGACACCTAAGTAATACTAATCATTTTTACATTATTTTCACATACTTTTATTATGTTGTTTTCTGGATTTTGTCCTATTTGGAGTATTTGTCAGTTTTTGTTATTTGTTGTGATATGTCTGGTCATATTCTAAATACAGTTGACCCTCGAACAATGCAGGGCTTAGGGGTGCTGACGCCCTTGCAGTTGAAAATCTGCATGTAATTTCTGACTCCCCGAAAACTTAAATACTCATAGTCTGCTGTTGATGGAAGTCTTACCAATGACATAAACAGTCAATTAATACATATTTGTATGTTACAGGTATTAGACACTGTATTCTTACAATAAAGTAAGCTAGATAAAAGAAAATGTTAAGAAAATCATAAGGAAAATATATTTACAATATTTACTGGAAAAAAAATCCATGTATAAGTAGATCTACACAGTTCAACTCATGTTGTTCAAGGGTTAACTGTATCCATGTCCATGCTTAATACTCTATTTAAAACTTTGCATTCTATTTCTAAAGAGGGCCCTGAAAACTGAAGAAGCTTCAGACCCTGACAACACTTGGATGCTCCCTGAACCAGGCCAGGCTCTGGGCTAAACACTTTACCAGCAAGTCTCTCAAGTTAAGCCTCACAACAACCCTGTGAAGTCACTCTAGAATTAGTCCCATTTTAAAGATATGAAAACGGAGGCTCAGAGTGGTTAAGTAACTTGCCCAGTGTCATATAGCATAAAGTGGTGGAGCCAGGATTCAGGTCCAGGGGATTGGCTTCCAGCGCCCACCACTTTCACCACTTTTTTCTCAGAAAACATGAGGGCTTACCCATGGACTAATCACTCAGGACACCCTCTCATTTTGCCTCTTGATTATCACATAGTGACTGACCCAAAGGCAGCCAGTCACGGGCTAGCCTCGCCAGCTGGTGANTATCTTTGGGACACCCTCTCATTTTGCCTCTTGATTATCACATAGTGACTGACCCAAAGGCAGCCAGTCACGGGCTAGCCTCGCCAGCTGGTGAGCGCCGGCTCCTGCCATTCCCAGGCGCTTCCTGCATGCCCGGTGGGGTCTTCCCCTCACTCCATCTGTTCATCCCTCATCATGGTCAGTGCGGTGGCTTTTTTGCAGAGGAAACTGAGCTTTAGCTGAGGCTGAGATGGCAGGGCTCACCCAGAAGGGGATGCCAATTGGAAAAGCAGGCCCTCTGACTCCCAGGCCCAGCTCCTGGCAGGGGACTGACACTGGAGGTGAAGACGGAGACTGCTGTTTTATCCCAAAACCTCTAAATTGGTGGGCATAGGCCCTGGCCGGGTAGCTCAGTTGGTTAGAGCGTGGTCCCGATACGCCAAGGTTTTGGGCTCAATCCCCCTGCCAGGGCACATACAGGAATCAACCAATGAATGCATAAATAAGTGGGACAATAAATTGCTCTCTCTCTCTAAAATTAATCAATCAATCAATTTTTAAATGAAGAAATAAATTGGTGAGCGTTGCAGAGAAATGCTTCCCATTGGAAAACATTTGGTACAATTCCTGGGGGGAAAAAAGGAGTGCATGGAAAGCTGTTTCCAGTTATGTTTTTCATTACGAGGGTCAGGGTAAACACAGACGGAGGAAACTAGCAGACAAGTCCCAGACTAAATACACGGCTAAGTGTTGCTCCAGCCGTCACAAACGGAACAACCTGTTCTCTGAGGTACATCTCTGCCGTGCCTTTTCTTGAGTCCCCTTCGGGAAATCTGCAGCCTGGATCCAACCAGCTTTGCCTTGCTGCCTGGCCCCGACATTGTGCAAGGGTTTTTCCAAGAGAAATCAGGTAAGGAAAACAAAAGGCCTGCTGCCCTGAGAGAGCTCTGCACCCACCCACAAAGTGGCCCCTGCATTGTCACTCTGAATCCTGCAGAGAAAAGCCCAGGCCACAGCCACAGCCCCAAGAGGTCCTGCCAGGGGAAGCAAAATCTAGCGGAACTTACAGTGACGTGACATCCCGCCAGCTCCCACTTCTAGATCCCACGCTGGGGAGAGTGAGGGTCCTCCTGGGGTAGATCATGCCGAAGCCTGCTCCCAGCTCCCCCAGTGACCCCGGCAAGGCAGAAGTAAATAATCTCAACGTTTCACATACCTCATCGTCTGCTTCTCTCCCCCCAGAGTAAAAGGCAAAACAACAAAGTTCTAGGGAGCTCCGTTCTGCAGAAGGAGGCAGGGCCGGGAGGAAGGGAAGGTGCTGTGGTCCAACTCCTGTCAAAAGAATAAACAGCTGTTTCAGGGGGAGTGGGGCAGACAAATCCCAGAGCAGCCAGAGGCTTTGTTCCTTGCTGGCCCTGGGAAATGGGCTATTTATCAGGCCTGTTGACTCAGAGCTACACGCCAAGGCAGAGACGTTTCTCTCTGGGCCCATGAGCGGCTTGGCCTCCTTCACCAAGTGAAACTACTGGTCCAAACTAGGCTCGCTGTTGGAGGAGGGAAGGCCACCACACCAGAGGACGCACAGGCCGCCCACGTCACCCACTCCTTGGCCAAAATGGGAACTGTTCTGAACTCAAACAACCCTAAGTGACTTCTACTAGGAACAGCCAATGGAGAAGTAAAAAATAAATAAATAAATAAAAAATAAACTTTTAAATGCAGAGGGGTGGGTGAAGTACAGCGTCCTGAAGACTGTGGCCGAAACACTGCCTAAATGTCCCTCGGAGTGAAGCCTGTCCTCTCATCTTTTAGGCTTTGGAAGCTGTTTTGTTGGAACATTATTTTTATAGAATGTTAGGAGCTCTCCCGCATTGCAAACCGAGCTACAAGAACTTTAAAAGGCCCAACCGGGCTCTTTAGCTGAATAATGCTTAACCCTTCCCACCCCCACCTCCTGCTCCCAAAATAGAATTTTCCAGCCGGAAGGGACCTTAGAGCAGTGCATTTTCAAACACCGAAGAAAACACATGAAGTCATTCTTAGAACTGCACTGTGTGAACCAGAGGCCACCAAGTGCTCAGGCTGAAGCTGGGAAGTGAAGCTGAAAGCCCTGCTACCGCCTCCCTCCCCCCCCCAGCGGCCCAGGCTCCGCTGAGGGTACAGGCTGGAAGCCCCGGCCAAGGAGAGGGGACCAGAACCCGCCAGAAAGGAGCCAAGGACTGCCCCACCCCACCCCCACCCAGCGCTGCCTAACCCAGCATCTTCCTCCTGTTCTCCAAAGCCCATTTCACAGCCCCTCCTCTAGGGGCACGAGCTGGTGGACCAACTTTAGGGGCTGGGAATTCTTCCCCACACTCCCTTAAATCCTTCCTGCTGGCGTGGACCAAAGCGGAACAAATGCCCACCTACGACCCACTCATTCGGCTCTAGGTCTATACCCCAAATAAAACGCACAGAAGTTCACCAAGAGACATGGACCGCAGCATTAACAGCGCACCCCCAAGTGGAACAGACCCCAGGCCCCTCCGCACAGGTCCAGCCTCCTCTGGTCTGGATCCCCCCAGGGCTTCTGACCCCCCCATGAGGCTGAGGCCTGGGCTTGGGGAGGCCTTGGTGTGGCATCTCTGCCTCCGCCCTGCGGCAGCCCTTAGGCCCGCTGCCTCTTGAAGGACGTGCCCACGAGTGTATTGCGTTCTGCTCCCAGTAAAGCGAAATTTGCCTTCAGCGCCACTGCCTCGGGCCGAGCTCCTGCCATCACCCAGCCCGCACCCTATTTTAGGGGTACAGCCATTGTCGGCAGAGAGTTCAAAGAACTAAGCCTAGGTGACTAAGGGGAAATGTTTGGTGCGCTTCTTCATCCTTTGGATTTCACCATGGTGTGTCCTACAGCAATTATTGCTTTTTGTGACAAAGCCAATGAGTTTCGTGATGAGAACAGTGACGTTGTTGGGTTTTCGGTGAATCCCCGCTATAGCCCTCTTGCCTGGAACAGCGCACGGAGGAAGCATGGCAGCCTGGGCCATGTGGACATGGCACTACTGTCAGGTTCGACGGAACAGACTTCCCGAGCCCAGACTGGCCCCGTGGACTGAGCGTCCTCCCATGCACCACGAGGCCACTGGTTCTGGTTGACTCCTGGTCAGGGCACATGCCCAGACTGCGAGCTTGATCCCCAGTAGTGGGGCATATAGAGGGAGCCCATGACGTTTCTCTCTCACATGTTCCTATCCCTCTCCCCCTATCCCTTCCTCTTTCTCTAAAAAAATAAAAAACATATTAAAAAACAAACAACAACAAAACAGACTTCCTGAGACTACAATGTGCTGTTAGAAGTTCCTGGTCTTGCACTAAGAGGTCTTGCACTCATGGGTCCTCCATAGGAGGACCCAATGGAGTCATTAAGCATTTGAATGTCAGTGATCTCCCAGTGGGCCAAAGCTGGAAGAGACCCTCGGCCTGGTGAAGACATTCCAGTTGTGGAAGTCCATGGAGAAGTCTGCCCAGCAAACTGGACCTCGGATTCTCCTACGATCAAGCCACATCCAACTGTTTCCAAATACTTTGAGAAGGTAAATCAGTAGATCATCCCATGTGCACCTGCAGCTTCTCAAAAGAACCACAGTTGGAACTCACTTTTAGCATTTCAAAGATGATTATGTACAGAAGGCAAAAAGTAAATTATGCTTGCATTCATAAGTATTACTCTAAATGTTTTGTTTTTATAACATTGGCTAAGGTTTTTTAAACATGGTTAGTTACCAAAAAAAACAAAACCAAACCCAAAAACCAGATCTGTTGTGATCTTGTTGGGATTCTACACACAGCACTGAGGATGAACCAATGACAGCTACTAACATCAACAGGTTGAATCTCACACACACAGCATTGAGTGAAAGAAGCCCTGGATGATGCCATTTATTTAAAGTTCAAAAATAGGCAAACCCTATCTATGTGCTAGAAGTCAGGATGTGGGTGGTAGTCTGGGAGGTGGCCCAGGGATCCTGGGGTAGGGGGAGGCTGGTCACGTTGTTTCTTGAGCTGGGTAGTGGTTACACAGTTATGTCCATTTTGTGAAAACTCATCACACATGTGCCTTTTTCACGTGTATGTTAAGAACAAAAATGAACAGGGACCTTCCAGCTAAAAGCTGCCTTCTCTCAAGTATTGTCTTCCCCCTGACACTGGCTCAAGGGCCACAGGGCCATGGACAGCCCTGCCTTTTCCTTCACTTGGGTTCCCTGCCCCAATACCAAGCACCACCAAGCAGCTCACTAAGGGTTAAGGGAAGGTCTGTTGCATTAAAGGATCCATGAATGTGGACCTAAGGTCAATGGGATGGGAAAGATAACAGAGTTTGGAGGCTAAGGAGCTGGGCTGAGATAAACTGGTCGTTTGGACAAGCAAGCACTGATCATGGGTCAGATGGGTCTCCCACTTTACAGTTTATAAAGCAGCCTCTTCTTTATCTCGATGATCCTCAGGATCACCCACAGGTGGCCAGGGAACAAAGGAGGCTCTGGGAGCCTCAGTGACTTGCTCACTGTCACCAGCTGTGGGTCTGGTACTGTTCTTCCCCTCAGCTGCTTCCAGGGGACATTCTATAGGTCAGTGGACTCCAGGCTGTTTAACCACAGCTCGACAGAGTCTGCAAACTGGAAAGCAGATGATCTTCCTCTTCCCCTGAAACTCTCTTCCTCAGACTCTCAAAATTAAGGAGCATACACTTTAGGCTATTCCTTAACTGAGAGGCAGAGAACCATAGCAAATGAGCCTCAGGCCCCATAGCTGTGCTGATCAACGGAGGCCAGAGGCTATCCAGGTAGGAGTTCAGCACGGGGCTTGGCGGCCCTGACTAAGCTCATCATTTATAATCTTATCATTTGATGGTCACTTTCAGTCCTAATAGTCCTTGGGTGTGTCAGATAGCAGCCAGCATTTAGTACCGGTCCATCTGCCACATCCCAAGTCAAAGGACCGCAGGGCCTGGGCGTTGCGGCCAAGGGGGCTGTGGGGAGCCGTGGCTGTGTCCCAGACCACCTCTTGCTGGGAGAAATGAAAGTCAGGATCCCCACCCTGCTTACCTGTGTGAAAATATGAGGATTAACTGTTCTTGGCAGAGAACACTGCAGACCAACAGGTTGCAGGCTGTCACTATTTGTTTAATCCTAAATATGTTCAGGGAGGTTACAAAGGACATTCTTGCTGGTATTTGCATGTGAGAGAGCAATCCGGTTGGCTTCCTCCCCTGTGTCTGGGATGAACATCATCCCCACCTCTAGAGGGGGTGAGGAGTTGTAGAGTGGTGGTTACAAGCATACACCCTGGGGCCATGATGGCTGGATTTGAGTCCCAGCTCTGCCTCTTAGGCTATGCAATCCTGGGTAATTTATTTAATTTTTTCTGTGCTTCTGCTTCTACGTTTGTAACCCGGCGCCAGACTGCAGTGGGTCACAAAATGAACTTCAGGTGAGAAAGTGATGTCAGCAAGTGTAAGGACCTCTTTCTTTCCAGCATGGGAAGGGTTGGAGAGAGGGGGCCAGCTAGAGAGGCCCTGGAGAAAAAGGCAGATGACTCCAGAGTATACATTACCGACAATGGGGACGCCTTGAGGAGACAGAGCCCAGGAGACAAAGGCTTGGAGATTCAGAGGAGGGGAGAGGACAGGTGTTGAAGAGCAGTACTGCAGGGGAAGATAGAGGGGTTCCCCTAAGACAGGCAGAAGATGCTTCGCCTTGTGCAAAAAGGAAGGATACAGGATGGGTGGGTTGGTGATAAGTTTGGGAGATGAAGTAGGTAGTTGACAAGTTCTAATCCAGAGCAGCTTAAATATGGAGGCAAAGTGGGTGGGGTGTGCGGGTGGCAGAGAAACTGGGGGGCTGTGCGGAATCATCACTGGAAGCCTTGAATCCCCACGGTGCTGAGGAATCTGCATTCACCCTTATGGTGCTGGGGAATCCTTCAGTGACATTAGGCCAAAGAAATTACATGATTTGCTTTATTAGAAGAATTACATGGCTGCAGGCCGAGGGAGGGTGGGAGAAGGAAAATCTCCAGCCAAGGAGACCAACCAGGGAGCTGCTGGCTGATGTCCAGGTGAAAGGGTAGAGACCTAAACCATCCGATTGAACTGGGAGACAAGAGGGCTTTGAGAGAAATGAAAGAAGGGGCATCTTGAGACCTTGGGTTACATGAAATCAATTCTCTTTCAAATTTGGCTTAAATGTCACCTTCTAGGTGGGAGCTTCCTGTATTAAAAATGACTTTATTTTTATAGTTTACTTATTAATGTTTTAGATTTCTTCCTTCCTCTACCAGAATGTCAACGCTATGGGTGGACACTTTTGTCTGTTTTGTCCCATGTGAAAGTGCCCATTACAGCACCTGGCACTCATACATCTTTGTAGGCTAAACGCATGCCTAGTACAGTGCTTGGCACCTAAGCGTTCAATAAATATTAACTACTTTTCAAATGGATGGCAATAATAATATTAACACTAAGAGTGAGCAATGGGATCAAGGGAGTGAAACAGACACGAGTCCAGTCCAGTGCTACTCAGGGTGCCCTGCGAACGCATCACCCGGGAGCCTGTTAGAAACAGAGCATCAAGCCCACCCAGCCCCAAGCAATCGGGCTGCCCAGAGGGGGCCCAGGAACCTGTGTCTGCCAAGGTCTGCAGGTGATTCAAAGCTCACTCAAGTTTGCCAAGCTACCCTGGGCTGGTTCCCAGGTCTCTGGTTGAAGCAGCAGA